ACGACATCTTCATACAGGGCCTTCTGCCGGCTGGACAGGCGGCACTTTAGCACATGTTCGTACTTCCTGGGGAGCTGCTTCTCCGTGTCTCTCTTAGTCCTCCTCAGGATAAATGGCTGCGTCACCTGAAAACACATCCCTGTCACTGTCTCTCTCCCCAGAGATGTTGGCATCACACTCCACAGTGTGCTGCAGGAGCCTCCAATGGCCGAGGCTCACCAAACACGTACCCGATGCAGCCGGATGACCACCTTGTGGTAGTAGTCCTGGTTCTCGTCATTGGGGGCTTTCAGAGGGAAGCTGAGGTAGGGCCTGGAGATGCCCGGGATGAGGAAGTGCACCATGGTCCACAACTCCAGGAAGGTGTTGTGCAAAGGTGCGTCGATCAGAAGCAGACGCTGCTGACTACAACAGGACGAGAGGACAGTACTGAAACCAGCATTCATAGCATGGCAGCTCAGACCCTCACTCTCCGCAGGTGTTTAGAAGGGGGAACACAGGATCCCACAGAGCTGAGGAAACGGACCCAGTGAGGTCAGCTCCTGGGTCTCCTTAGCCCTACGTGTTCCAACAAAAGGAAGCAGTGACTACAGCTGGCACACTACCCAACCTCCTGCCCTGTTCACGTCAAAGGTAACACTGAGGACGACCGGGCAAGGACTCTGCAGGGGGCCCCACAGGGCACGCGGACCTGTGTAATGGGGAATGCCGGTAGGGCGTGCGGACCTGTGTGGTGGGCGGACACCCACAGGGTACGCGGACCTGTGAGGGGGCCCAGTAGGATGCATGGACCTGTGTGGTGGGGGGACGCCCACAGGGTGCACGGAACTGTGAGGGGCCCCGTAAGATGCATGGACCTATGGGGGGAGGATGCCCACAGGATGCGTGGACCTGTGTGGCAGGGGCATGTCTGCAGGGTGCGCAGACCTGTGAGGGGGCCCCGTAGGATGCATGGACCTGTGTGTGGAGCTTTGCAGGGCACACGGACCCATGCGGGGCTCTACAGGGGCCTAGGGGGAGAAGCCATGTGGAATGCAAAGCTGTACCAATGAGGGGGGCAGAGGGGGACACCCCATGGGACAAGAAGACCTGTGCTAGAGGCCCCTGCAGGGAATATAGACCCATGCGGGGCTCTGCAGGGGAACCCACGGGGCGTGCAAACCTGTGCAGGTTGAAGACAGCTCCCCAGTGTCTGTCAGTCATGTTCTTCACCTGCTGCATCTCATCAATGACCAGGCACCTCCAGCGCACCTTGGTGAAGGAATGGTAGCCCTTGAAGAAGCGCTTGTAGGATGTGATGCAGATGTTGAAGCTGTAGGGCTCTGTCCATTCCTGCAAAGAACAAGCCTTTGTGGTCTAGGAGTCTTAAGCACGAGTACTGACACACGGACACATGATCCGCAAAAGATGTGCTGATGGGGTATCCTGAGTGGGACTGGCTTCTACGGAGCATCATCTGAGCAAAGGCAATGGGGCTCAGAGGACGACAGGAGACAGGGTGCTATCTGTGCTGAAACTGACCACACTCTAAACTTGCCAGTAACAAATGAACGACCGGAGGGCCACAGAACACACCTCAAGGTACTCATATTTTCTGTCAACACAACATGGTGATGTGCAGTCAGCCAAGCTTTACCACCAATGAAGGCTTTGATCAATACACAGTTTCTCTACTCTCAGTGAAGATTCCCACGTAGATGATGTCATATGCAGAAACGGGACACAGAAGTCCACTCACAGGCCCATTTAAGCCAGTGGTGCTGCCTCGAAGCTGCAACCCGGGTCTGACAGCTCTGGCAGGCCATGTGGGGCTCCAAGCTGTAACCCCAAGTGTGGGCACCCAGGACCTCCTCTGAGGCTGGAGATCACCAATGGGCTGGCAGGTGAGGACAGCAGTCCGTGCAGGGAATATTCTCACTTAGGAAGGAGCCTGCTTTCAGGGAAGTGACTGAACCCTGTGTGGAACTGGGTCACTTGCCCGCATGACCCTCCCTGTGGGTAGTGACATGTTTCATCAGAGATGGCCTGTAGGTCGGGGGGGAAACCACTTGAAATCCACAAGAGCTTGAAGGGTCAGTGTATCACAGGCTATTCTCCTAAGTACATGGACAAACATGTCTTGACATTTTGAAACTATAACAAAGACAACTTTCTTTTCAGTGCTGTTTTGTTAGGAGTTTTAAGAAGTACCTGTCTCTTGGCTCTGAGTTCTCTGTGGCTGCCGACATACAGAAGGGTCTTCAGCCCAGGGCACCAACGCTTCAGCTCAAGCTCCCACCTGAGTATGTTACAACTTCTCACCACAACAAGGTGGGGTCCCCAATTACCTGCACAGGAAAAGAGGGCGGAGTCCCCGACTTAACTGTGTTCACCTGCTGAGTGCAGGCAGCTGGGCTGGGCCCGCCCACAGGAGCCTCACCAGTGTGTACAGTGAAAGCTCAAGTGACTACAGCAAATGCTAGGGCAGGACAGACAACTACTACTGGGATGTCACCAAAGTCACTAGACTCTAGACAGGTGCCACCACTACACACCAGCAAGGGGATATCCACTAAATATCTGGGGGATGAACTGCTAATGAATGATTCTAATATTCATTCAAAAACAGGTCAACCACATACTAGGAACACAAACTATCCCCAACAGCCACTCTCAGTGCGTGCTTCTGAAAAGGAATGACTTTTAAACTATGAGACTGATGCACACGTGACCACGCCCCACTGCCCTGTAATCGAATCATACACAGGTTAAAAACACAAGGACAGACTGGGGAAATGCATGCAACCCACTGTCATCCATTGCCAATGCACTGCTACCACTTCTTAAAAAGCACCAAGGAGAACAACCCTAGGACATGAACAGAAACTCAGAGAAGAAACCAATGGCTGGTACTCTAACAGGTGTGACCTCACTGGTCGGGAAATGCACACCAAACCTGGAGGTGTCCCTGCACCCCCTGAAGAACCCGACAGGCAAGTAATGCTGAGCCCAGCGCTCCACGCACCCTGTGCATGCAGGGGAAGGCTGCACAGACCGGGTGCAGGCTGAGAGCTGGTGGAGAACAAGAGTATGCACTATGTAAGCAATTCTGATTGCCTGTGAGGTGATCAGAATTTTCTAAACAAACATTTCCTTGAATAAAGAAACACTCCTCTTGGTGACATGGCAAACTCTTCCAGTGTCCTGACTGCACTGTGGTGCAGAACCCCAGGGCCACTGAATTCATGCTGGGATGGGGTGGGGGTGACAAACAGATGCCCTCAGCCTCCTGTCCCGAGGCATCCTGAGCACATGGCCCTGGAGAAGGGAACCTGGCAGGAGAGGACTGGGTGTGAGTGGGCCCAGCTCTGAGCTGAGAGGGGTGCCCGTGTGCAGGGCCCAACAGCAACAGGGCACGCCATCCCAGGAAAAGCGTGTCCACACACAGCACAGTGTGACTCCACAAGGCACAGAGTGCAGTCCCCGGCCCGGCGGATGTCTGCACTGATGTCAGTGAGTCCCTCCAAGGCTAACTCTGAACTCACTTTCCCCGCTGGTGCAGCCCATCCTTCCCGAGCCCCCTTTGCTCAGACCCTGGACTTGCGCACAGGAACACGGGCATCACACACACACGCCTGTGGGGAAGCCTCCACAAACCCACAGCTCTCACCTTCGTTACAGGCCAGGTGGGCAAAGAAGGCAATGATCTGCACCGTCTTGCCGAGCCCGGCCTCGTCGGCCAGGATGCCGTTGAGCCTCTTCCTGTAGAGCTTGGCCAGCCAGTCCAGGCCGATCTTCTGGTAGTCTCGGAGCGCCCCGAACAGGAGGGACGGGGTGTTAAACTTCACCTGCAGCCACACACATGGCAGATGGGAATTTCCTACTGAGAAAGCTATGACAATGCTCCTGCAACATGAAACCGCATCACTCACATGAGGAGCCCATGGGAAAGCCTCAAAATGATCCAGCAGACCAAACCACACCCAATGCCGTGGAGTAAATACTGATTCCCAGCACCCTAGAGGGCAGAGTGGAACTGCCCACAGGTCTCCAAGGCTGTCAGTCTTCACAGAAGCAAAGCCCCAACCACACCCACTGCATGGAGTCCATTCCGACACACAGTGCCCCTAGAGAATGGAGTGGAACTGCCCCAGAAGGTCTCCAAGGCTGTCAGTCTTCATGGAAGCAAAGCCCAAACCACACCCACTGCCTGGAGTTCATTCCAACCCACAGCGCCCCTAGAGGACAGAGTGGAACTGCCCACAGGTCTCCAAGGCTGTCAGTCTTCACAGAAGCAAAGCCCCAACCATACCCACTGCCT